GTTTTGGAGGATCTCGATCATTTTAGATATAAAAATTTGAGAGTGGAGGTAGTAGGAGGCTTGGGTGTATCTCATTTTTTGATGTCAGTATATTTATATATATCGACCTCATGAGAGATATATATATATAGAGAGAGAGAGCTATATTATATATATATATATATATACAGGGTTATCCAAATTAAGTGTCCACCATTAGTAACTTTGTTATTAGTGAAAATACAAAGTTGTTTGAATTAGCAAACTAGTAGCGTTTTTAACGCTGGTAAAAATGAGAAATAAAAAAAAACAATTGAGAGTTGTTATTTTGATTTTTTTCAGTAAAATAACATTTTTTTAAATGGAAACCCCTGTATATTATATTTTTTTCTGTTAAAGCATCAAATTTTAAACAAAAAAGCTTACAATAACTTTTCTCCTAGGTTACAAATTGTTGAAGTTATGGCCTCCAATCTGAAACAATTAAATTGTATCGACAAACTTTATTTTCAACATCAACTTATAATCTTACAAAATACAATAACAATTTTTTTTAAAGAAGATGCTCGAAAACACCACCTTGTTCTTCAATACATTTTTGGGCACGTTTTTCAACTGCTCGAACTGTCTTAAGTATGGTCCTACCATCTATCTGGGTTATCTTTTCCCTAACTGCAGTCTTTAACGCGTCAAGGTTATCGTACCTTCGGTTGTAAATTTGGTTCTTTAAGTAACCCCACAAGAAGTAATCAAGTGGGTTTAGATCTGGTGATCTGTCGCTTATCTTAATGCTGTCAAATCGCGAACGCCATGTTGTTTTCATAGCCGTCTTAATATTATAATACTGCAAATAATTAAAAATATTTATCGTTATTTTGACTTTATTTTTGACTTCAGCGGAAAAGTCATTATGAACTTTTTTGTTTAAAATTTGATGCTTTAACAGAAAAAAATATAATATACAGGGGTTTCCATTTAAAAAAATGTTATTTTACTGAAAAAAAATCAAAATAACGACTCTCAATTGTTTTTTTTATTTCTCATTTTTACCAGCGTTAAAAATGCTACTAGTTTGCTAATTTAAAAAACTTTGTATTTTTACTAATAACAAAGTTACCAATGGTGGACACTTAATTTGGATAACCCTGTATATATATATAGGTGAAAAATTAAAGCTTCCGCCTTTTGTTGGGTACTTCGACAAAATTTAAGCAAAGAGGACTCTTTATACTTTTTTAATTCTCTCTAGCTTTCAATGGACTTTGCCATCATCATCAGGAGCTGCAATTACAATGATAACAGTAGCAACAATAGTGTAAAATGAATTTAAATTGACTCAACTTACATATGTATGTGAGGATGTTGCTAATTGTTGTTTACGTATAGGATGAGGGAAACGTCCAGTAACATGGTGAGAGCTGGATACATGGTACAATGGTCAAAATTATATAAAATATGACAAGAACAAGTGAAACACAGATTAAAAATTATTTAAAAACACTAAAGCATTACATCGTGAAGCCACTTGATGATTGCACAAAATGGTGGTCATGGAATAATGAGTGAGATGAACCCTTTGACAGAAGGCCGAAGGTTGTCAATGTCTGTGTAGAAAGATGGAACGAATTGTGGGCGTGTGCCAACGTTGCCAAATCACTTCAGATGATGTGATTTTCAGAATGTTATGTAAGAAATTGTTAAACCGACCAGAGGCAGTTGAATAAACTATATTTTAATTAATGGGAAATTAAATTAACAATTATTATTAAATCGTGAGAAGAGAATTATTAGAATTTGAGTGGAATGAAATTTACTGGTGGAATCGACTAAGATACAGATTCTATTTATGGTTGTGAAGAGTCAAAATTTGGGGAGATATGTAAGTTCTCCAATTTTTCGCAGTTTAGCAAATATGAGTAAATGACACTCACTTGTTTAACATCTGTCTTTTTGTTGATACAGTTGTTATTCATGAAAATGTGGGACATTTCCAGGAATAAACGTTTGGAAAGGTGTTTTTCTTTATCAAGAACTTTGATTCTTGTGTAATTCATAGAATGCCCTGTTGTGTTAACATGAGATGCTAGAGCGCATCTTTCAGGATGAAGCCTAGAATCACTTTTGTGTGATGTAATCCTTCCTTTAAGAGATCTGGAGGTCTGACCTATGTATATTTGGTTGCAGTTGTTGCAATTGATGGAGTAGACTGTGTAGGTTAAGCCAAGCAGCGAGACTTTGTCTTTCATTTTTGAAAAAATGCGTTTTATAGTGAGGACGGATTTGCAAGCAATTCGAAAGTTCAAAGGACTGCACAATCTGATCAGCTTAGGGGTCAGTTCCTTGATATAGGGCAGGACAGCAAAACCAGGTCTGGAGTCCGGGTTGGTGCTTGTACTGTTTGGATTGATGCTATTGTTGGGCATTACATCAGTTCCGTTATTAGGGGTTGTGCGACTATTACCTGCATCATCAGAGTTTGGCAAAATATTGGTCCGTCCTCACTATAAACTGCATTTTTTCAAAAATGAAAGACAAAGTCCCGCTGCTTGGCTTAACCAACACAGTCTACTCCATCAATTGCAACAACTACAACCAAATATACATAGGTCGGACCTCCAGATCTCTTAAAGGAAGGATTACATCACACAAAAGTGATTCTATTCTGAAAGATGCGCTCTAGCATCTCATGTTAACACAACAGGGCATTCTATGAATTACACAAGTATCAAAGTTCTTGATAAAGAAAAACACCTTTCCAAACGTTTATTCCTGGAAATGTCCCACATTTTCATGAATAACAACTGTATCAACAAAAAGACAGATGTTAAACAACTGAGTGTCATTTACTCATATTTGCTAAACTGCGAAAAATTGGAGAACTTACATATCTCCCCAAATTTTGACTCTTCACAACCATAAATAGAATCTGTATCTTGGTCGATTCCACTAGTAAATTTCATTCCACTCAAATTCTAATAATTCTCTTCTCACGATTTAATAATAATTGTTAATTTAATTTCCCATTAATTAAAATATAGTTTATTCAACTGCCTCCGGTCGGTTTAACAATTTCTTACATAACATTCTGAAAATCACATCATCTGAAGTGATTTGGCAACGCTGGCACACGCCCACTCGTTCCATCTTTCTACACAGACATTGACAACCTTCGGCCTTCTGTCAAAGGGTTCATCTCACTCATTATTCCATGACCACCATTTTGTGCAATCATCAAGTGGCTTCACGATGTAATGCTTTAATGTTTTTAAATAATTTTTAATCTGTGTTTAACTTGTTCTTGTCATATTTTATATAATTTTGACCATTGTACCATCTATCCAGCTCTCACCATGTTACTGGACGTTTCCCTCATCCTATACGTAAACAACAATTAGCAACATCCTCACATACTACTGTAAGTTGAGTCAATTTAAATTCATTTTACACTATTGTTGCTACTGTTATCATTGTAATTGCAGCTCCTGATGATGATGGCAAAGTCCATTGAAAGCTAGAGAGAATTAAAATAGTATAAAGAGTCCTCTTTGCTTAAATTTTGTCGACGTACCCAACAAAAGGCGGAAGCTTTAATTTTTCACCTAACTGGTCTAGACGACAATGACCACGTCTCAAGTTTTATATATATATATAATACAGCCCTCCAGCTTATGCATTGACTAAAAACAAATTACAAGGTTATTTTCCAATAAATCACTTGCCCTGTCAATACTATTGCTCTTCACTGGGCTATCGAAGTTACTCGCTTCCTTTAATCCTAACTGAAGCAGCGAGATACTCGTATCCATTGTTGCGATTAGCACAGTCACCGACGCGATAGTGTTGCTCTGCTATACAACTTATTTATATAGGCTTTCGTACTTTTTTGGTTATTTTGGCTCTTTTTGTTCGATCCACTCCTGCTATGCCTGAGTAAGTTATCAGACTGTTATGAAATGATAAATAAGCAGCGTCTTTATTATTCGGCCAAGTCTAGCCGCACATGCCATTGAAACGTAACCAACTGACAATAACAAATAATCATCATTGACGCCATTTTTCGCCTAGGTGATCTCAATAAATTTGTTTGCGATTGAGAGCACTTTCTTTGGCCGGTCAACTGAAACAACCCAGATTTCCACACTTTCGTCTGTATTTGACGTACGAAAATTAAAAATAGAGTCACATTATGCACGCCCGAGTAGTGCCGGAGAGCGGAAAATCTGTTTGTTGGAAACGTGACCTTTTTCCCGCATTCTGCTCGAGTGTGTTTCCTTAATGCACTTTTATTTACACACTCAATCCAACAGCGCATTAGCAATGATATTAAAACCGTTGTCGATTCGACTGGAACGGAAATAAGCTGTGCGATTGCTGGTAGTTTATAAATCTACAGAGCGCCCAAAAAATAATGATAAAAATCGTCTTGAATGTCCAAAAAAAAACGCGTCAAGAAAGTTGACTGTGTACTTTACGTGCAACGCTATCGGTTCCTAAATTGTAAATGTTTGGTGCAAGTTGGCCCTTCTAAGAAAAAACGAACACGTATAACAAAAAATTAGAATGACCTTCCGGCCCCCTGAGAGAAATTCCAGCAGCCGCATATGGTCGTTGCGATGACATGCTTAGGGGTGATATTGAGCCGTATTCATAAAACAAAGGATATCTTTGTACTTGCAGATTTTGAAGGAAGTCCTCCAGATGATATTTATAATAATTTGTAGTAAATGATTTTGCTTTTTGAGTAAGCATATCTTTCAAAGCAGTGACATCATTCATAATCTTCACCTTATACTTGGAGTGTGGTCATTAGCAGATTCAACTTCGTAACGAAAGGTAATCAAACGATGATAGCGGAAATTGTGGATGTTAGGGATGTTAAAACGTACAAACCTCGTTTACCTTCACTAGGTCGTGACTCCAAAAAATTATATCGTTTCGACGAAGTAAATTTACAACGGCTTGCGGACAGATTTTTAGTTAAGAATGAGGAAACTCGAGGAGCACTTTGATGTATTTATAAAATGAAGATATGTCTACGCTATCTCGGTGACCCTGGATATCAACAAGGTATTGGTCAGGAACTTGGTGTTAGTCAAGCAACGGTATCTCAGACAGTGGATAGAGTTGTGAACAGCATAGTTGCACAGTCGAACGAATGGATCAAGTTTCCAACTACCAACCATGAACTGATGGAGGCCAAGCGGCTGTGGCAAAGCATGTATAAATTTCCGACAGCAACTGGTGTAATTGATTGTACACATATAGGAATCTTGAAACCAAATCGCCATGGAGATGAGTATATCAACCGAAAAGGGAAACCTACTTTAAATGTGCAAGCCACTTGTGATGCCAGAGAGATGTCGACAAGTGTTGACGTCAGTCTGGATCAGTGCATGATTCCAGAATATGTAGAAATTAACAGATTAGATTACAACTAATAAATAAAGCAAATGTTGTACTACTTGGCGATGACGGTTATGGTATTGAGCCATGCCTTATGACTCCCTTCAGAAACCCTACTAAGGATTTATGTCAAGGTTAAAGGATTTTCATAGCCGTCGAATAATAAAGATACCACAGTGTGTCAAAGTTGGCTTAGACATCATACGTGCCGCATGTTCCGAGTATATTTTTCCAGGATTCCGTGGAAAGTATAGTGAATCCGCTGGATGCCATTTTTCCATTTGCACAGATTGCTCTATATTGCCATGGATTTTATCCAATAAAAGCTACACATCCAGAAATAGTCGATTGATCCGCTGAATGTTTTCTGATAGGAAAGACGATCGAGCGTTTATTGGACAGCGTACATTTTTGAATGACGCATCCAGATATTTTCCAGAAGAGGTGCACGGCAACCATTGTGTACTCGGAACAAACAGCATCCGGCCGATCGTGCATCCAGAGAATTCTCGATATTGGATGTTTCACGTCAATTGAGCGGCTGACGTTGCGACGTCATATTTTCATTCTGAACGAATTTGTAAAATAATTTTTCTACAAGACGCGTGCATAGCATGGGCAGATGTACATTAGATTCCAAGCCAGTGATTCCATACTGTGATCGACTACACCTTAATCTGACTGGCCTGGGACTTATTACACCATTTTTTTTCTTTACATTTTATATTTGAATAGATCAATGTCACGTGCTTGATAATTGACTTTTTAAGAACTTGTGGGTTAAAATTTAGGTTTGATTAACTAAATGTCCTCTGTGTAACTATCCTCTGTAATTTGCCTACCTGACCGTGGCCTAGTTGTTGTGTCTCATATTTTGGAAATACCTTTAATGGTCCCTTACTATGAGTTAAAGTGATTTTTGAGCTGTAGCCCATCGTATAAAAGGAATCTGGTTAATGGGACATAGTTCTAGCGTCATTCAGTTGCACCTTTCTGGTAAGATTTATAATTTATAATTGTTGATTCCTTTTAGGCAAGCACTTGTTAGCTTATTTACGCAGACGAATCTATTTTCCTGTTACACTCCTTTTTCTCTTGACAGCATCTGGCACAAGTTATTTGTACATAACAGATGATACAACCATGCATACCTTCCAGAATAATCTGTGGCAGCGCCATCTGAAGAAGGTGATCCTAATTAACCCACCATAAGCAACAATTTAGTGCCGTCTACTGTCGGTACCTTAAATTCCGTCTGAATTTTGAACATACGGTTTTTGCCAATACTCTGAAATGTCAAGAATAAGGAAAATGTTGTATTTGCCCTTGACTTTGAGAATCTGTAAAGCGACATAAGAATATTAACTGAAAATTCAGACAGCAACAGATACCGTACTGGGATAAAACGCAAAAAATGCTAGTTTTCCAGTGGTATTTAGTTATTAATTTTATCACTTACATATTGGTATGTTATTTGAAGTGTCGACATGGTCAGTATTAGATGCTATTACGATTGCTTCCAGCGTTCGTAATGACCCATTTTCGGGCCCCTCTCGCTGTTGGATTACCGTTCTTTACCTCCGACGGCTATTAGCGAGGAAGTATTGTAATTGCGGAAAACTTCAAAAATTAGCTATTAAGTTATTCGGATGTTATATCATATCACGAAAAACCATGCCTCTCAGCCCCGTCGGTCTATCTGTCTGCCTATCTGTCCGCTAATCCTCGGCCCGTCTATAACTTGGAAAGTACTGCCTACCTCACTACTATGCCAAGGAAGAAAAAGCTTTGTAATCTATGGAAAACAGTCCAGCGACGGCATAGAAAAAGGCCAAAAACGGAAAACATAATTATCGCTCCAGCGACGCTTTTGATTTTTCAGAGGATCCTGATCATTGTTGTAAAATTATATGCGTAAAAACTGGGAGTGGGGTTGTAGGGGATCGGAAATGATATCTGAATCTCTTTATGTAAGTATATTAAGCCTCAACTTCAGTAATTCTACGTACCTAGACATATTTCGCAGATCATAGTTTTCCCCGTACATTTGCCATTAAAATTTGTAGAGTAATGCTTTCTGTTGTTTGGGTTCACCGGCGAGAGTGCCAGTCTTGGTAAGTGTCCTGGCTCTACTGGCGCTGTGCCACGCTGCCACGTCTGATGAATCGTGTGGTCTGGTATCAAGGAGATGTGACGTGGCCTGAAAGACGGTAAAGCAGGGAAATAATGTCTTTGGGCTAGTTGTTTGGACCTGTTTGACTGGCTTGATAAGTTTCATTTCTCTGTTATATTTGTTCGTAAGTAAATGTTTCCTCAGAGGGCCTAACTTGTGCTAAACATAATCCTTCATACGTAGGACATGCAGACTCAATCTATTTGACGCCATTTTTTATCCGCTCGGCAGTGCTTAACGTTGGAAAGTTCACCTTCATTAGGCTTGCAGCGCCGTTTGCAAATCGTGCAGGAAGTACCATCTCCTGAATCTGTCTAACAACATAATTATCTGCACACACACACTTTTAAGAAATAACACGTGTCTAGGTATCCAGGATTTATAGATTCACCTAAGGTACATTACATACACAAACGGGTAACAGTTTTTCAAACCGCCCAAACAAACGACAGATCTAGCCTACTATCAACCCTAATTTGGTTTAATATCATTCTAAGACATTTATCAGTTGATGGATTCCCAAAACAGATCTATATTTTCTACATACTATTTTTAGCAAAATACTATTATGTTACCATTTACATTATTTAATTTGCTGAAAATATATTTCACGGTTCCGAGAAATTGCAGGAAAGCGACGCATGCTTTGATTTTTCTTTCGCTCCACAGATCCAGAGGCTACTAATTATTTTTTAATTAACTGTGATTCTTCTTTTTCTACACCCAGCATGCTTTCCTACATGAAATGTACTTTTTTGAAAAAAAAATAACTGCTCCAATTTATTTCAGTAAACTAATAGAATTGCAGACTGCGTTATATTCCTTTGCCGTCTTTTCCACTGAGTAAGACCATTGATTAACGTGTTCCGCCTGAACACAACCAACTTAATGCCATTCATATTCGCGCGTCCAAGAACTTATCAGGGATGAAAAGGGATACCGTAGCGTCATCTATGAGAATTTGTCACAGCTTCTTTCTTCTCCCCTCAATAACTAGGGATCTACTTTGAAAATGTTGGTTTATCGTACATGGTGCTGCAGTCAACTGTATATGAGCACATAGCTACTGCGCCATCTATGAGGCCCTAATTTTCTCAAAGTAGTGTGTATGAGGCCGTCCGTGGTAAAGTCATTATCCATTGTTTTACTTTCTCCTTAAATAGTCCAAGTGAGTTTATTTGTTACAATTCTCCAGAAAGCATATTATAAAACCTAGCGCGCAGAAAGCTATACGATCCTTGTAAGACATTATTTTCGGGTTTTGGAGTTTTTTCTTGTGTCATCATTATTTTTAACAGTACTCATGTTGCTTCTGCTAGTATGAGCGTTTACTAGTTTACTTGTGAATAAGTTTAAAGACCGTGAACAACGCGTGTTCTTGGAGTTCTTATTTCTTCAACATCTAAGTGCTACCGGAGGTCATCGTCAAAGCACGTTGCGGAGCATAATGCCCTTAGCAAGTGGATGGTGCGACTGTGGGTCAAATGCTTCAATCAAAGCCATGCACCCGTCCAGATACCTTCAATTTTTGAATGACTGCGTTTGTGGTTACATTGGCACAACAATAGGAAGCATCGAGTGTGATTTCTGAATGACAATGCCAAATGTCACCGTAGTGTGGCTGTGAACAGTTGAGTTGAGAAGCATCGCGTGAGTCATTGGGCAACCCCACTACTCACCAGATCTGACCCCCTGTGATTTCGATTGTTTGAAGAGAGCTTTGAGCGGTTGATTATTATCAGGCCTTTCACTAAACTCTTTTTAAGTATTCACTCTGAAAACATCTGTCTCCTAACAAGTCCTGTTACATCGTCCTATAAATATAATTGGATAGGGGTGCGTCAACTGCCAACTAAGGACGTGTTTGTGAATGGAAAACGAAACACGTCACCGTCAATATCTTCGCTTCAAAGCACTTCGTCCCTCGTTTATACTGAAACATTTCCTTTCCTTTGTACACTTTCCAGGATTGGCTGTTAGATAAATTTCAATTGGATTTTTTTGGAATGCCTTTCTCTACAGCGCTTTACTGTCATTGTGTAGGATGTAAAATGTAATGTATCCATTGGCACTGTTAATGGGGAAATCTTTGCAAAGGGGACTCGTTCAATGGTTCTACCTTGATTCCCACGTCAATATTCTGAGAAGTATTGTATACGCTCCTAAGACTTCTAGATAGTTTAGGGAGTCGCAACCAGCGCATACGTGAACGTCAAAATTAACAATTGAATCATAAGAAAACAATGCGCTGGATGCGTCTGATAAACATCAAATACCTAGTTTTATTATTATAGATTGTGCTCATGGTTTTGTCAAGTCGATGCTGACAATTTACAATACTATACTAAAAACTGGAATTTTTCCTGATGTTTGCAACATGCAAAGTTGTGCCCGGTCCTGCAGGATGGTGATAAAACAATTTACGGAACTATAGAGTAATGGGCTATTTAAACAACTTTGCAAAGGCGCTTGAAAGGGTCGTTTACTATTTTGTCTTTGCGATAGTCAAGATCTTAATTACACTCTTACAGCATGGCCTCATGTAAGGTCCACGGTAAGCTTGATGACAATTACGCGATATATAGCAGAGTCGATAGGCAATAATCAACAAACTGATTGAAATTAGGGGGATCTTAGTGATGCTTCCATCAACTTAATCCATCATCTTCTAGCAGATAGCCTTCATTACTTCGGCCTTAGTGACTCGTTAGTCGGTCTCCTAGGCTCACATATTTCCAGTAAAGCGCTATATGTTTATTACAATGGTAAATGCTCAGCAAATTGCATTTTTTCTCTGGCGAATCGCAAGGATCAACCCTAGGTCCTTTGCTGTACAATCTATCACTTGCTGATGATCTGAAAATCTGCACCGAAATTACAAATTTAGAGAACTATATCGGGTTTTCCAATAGGGACTTTGAACTGTGAACGCACCATCATGGTGAAGTACATGAATAAACAACGCTTACAAATAGTTAAAATTTACTGCCGAAATTCCGAGTCGGTGACTGCAACTTTAAGAGCATTAATGCCAGTTCGTAGCCTAGTAAGAAAACTTGAGTCCACATATTCGCTGCTGGATGTTCCTGTGCCTGTGAGACAACGGGTTGGTCCAAGTACCGAGAATATTGCTGCCGATACCACGACGATCTCAAGAATTGGGCATCGCTCAGACCACACTATGGCAAATTTTGCACTGAGATCTTGGTCTGCACCCTTATAAGATCAAGTTAACTCAAGAACGAAAGCCGTTCGATCATATGAACCGACGTACGTTCTCGATTTGGGCTCTAGAAATGTTGCATGAAAATGACCAATTTCATCGCAAAATCGTTAGCGATGAGGCGCATTTTTGGCCAAACGGCTTCATCAACAAACAGAATATGCATCATTGGTTAGGTGAGAACCTTCACGTGCTTCAAGCAACACCACTTCATCCACAAAAAATAACTGCATGGAGTGGTTTTTATCTCGGTGGTGTCATTGGGCCGATTCTTTTTTTCGTTGATGAAAATGACCGTGACGAATATCGCTCCAGAGACATATTGCAACATTATTTTTTTGGTCAATTGGATGGGCTAGACATCAATGATATTTGGTTTCAACAAGACCGTACCACAAGCCACTCAGCAGGTGAAACAATCGACATATTGAAATCAAAATTCGACGTATGTGTGAAATCGAGAAATGAAAGCAGTGTCAATACATTTATTTATTTTATTAAACAAACTTTGACTCCCCTGAAAAAATCTCTATATGTAAGACGTCTGAAAGACACACAAAATTATAGAAGCAAGCTCGTTAGGATGCTCCTTATTGTATAGGTTTGGTGTGCTTCAACATTGCTACAGCAGTGATCATGAACCTGTCTTGGTGGGGATATTATAGTAATGTTTACAATAAAAAAGGTAATTTCTAATAATCTTATTATTTTCCTGCTGCCCAGAAGCAACGTGGGCTTGATTGTACATCACAAACTAACTAATCTGGTATTACAAGATAGTAGTCGTGACATAATCTAATTCAGTGATGGTTGTTTGGTGTACCACTTTGCGTTAATTCCGCTAACGTTTTACTAATTCTGATGTATTTGTCTGATAAACACCATAATTAGATTACATGCACTGCATTAATATTATTAGCACACAATTTAGCTTCTATATATAAGTATACATTTTAGGCAATGCTTTGAAAAATTATCCGAATTACTTCCATCGCGACAATGGCGTAAGAATGAGATATTGTTTTTTCGTGTTATAACATACGTACATCACGAAAAACCATGTCCGTTATTTTCGTCTGTCTGTATTTCGGTCAGTCCGCTAGTCCTTGGACCGCCCATAACTTGGAAAATACTACTCGAATGAAACTTTCAAACAAGTTTACTACTAAGGACGAAAATCGGTCCAGTGACGTCGCAGGAAAAGGCCAAAAGCGAAATAAATAAAAATCGCCCGAGTTTCATTTTGACGTTTTAGATAATCCTGATAATTTTTGGAACAAAATTTTTTGGTGTAAAAAATAAAGATGTGGGGAGGTGTTGGGCTGTGGGTTGGTTCACAGTTTATCGTAATTTTATGATGTTAGTACATTAATACAGGGTGTTTCACAACTTATCTGACACATTTTAACCATATATGCACTGTTACGAAAGAAGTTGATTTCTCAAAAGAAATGTAACGTCTCCTACAGAAATCGAGATAGTAAAATATACTAAGTGACATATAAATCCGAACACCCAGTTTAAATGGTTTTATTTTAATAAAATTTTGTATAAGTACTTAATGAAGCAAAATAAGTAAATGATAAAAATTTCAAAATGATTGCACTGCTTTAAAGCCCTTTGATCTTTAATAATGTGTGGATGCACCCTGATGTGCTACGCATTCTCCAACGCGCCTAGGCATGCTTCTGATCAGGTGGTCAATGTCCTCCTGTGGTATCTCATTCCAGGCGACCACCAACTCCTCTCGAAGTGCTTCTAGAGTCTGAGGAGGACGTTGCAAATTGAGCAATCTCCTACCCATCATATCCCACACGTGCTCAATTGGGGATAAGTCGGGAGATCTTGGTGGCCATGGTAACAATGTGACATCATTATGTTGAAAGAAGTCTATTGTGACTCTTGCAACATGTGGTCGGGCATTATCTTGTTGGAAAGTTGGATCTGCCAGGGTGTCAAGATAGGGTAAAAGATGGGCTTCTAGAACTTCGTGGATATAATGCTGCGCGTTCATGTTACCTCTGATGAAGATTAAAGGTGACCTGGAACCATAAACTATAGCACCCCAAACCATAACTCCAACAGTGTGATGAACATGTCTTTCAACAAAAAACTGTGGATTCCTCCTTTCACCACGTCGCCTTCTAACCCTGGCACGACCATCGTGCATGCCTAAACAAAATCGAGACTCGTTACTAAAGACAATACTGTTCCATTCCTGATCCCAGAGTGACGTCGGTGTTCTCGAGTTAAACGGAGGACCCAGTGTGGCCGGTATGAAAACAAGCCAAAACTTCTCATTCGTCGATAAACACTTCGCATGCCAATAGGTCTTCCGTGTTCTGCAAACTATTCATTTGCAATGGACCTGGTAGTGGAGAAACGGTCCCTTGAGGCCAATTATCTTAGGCGGCGGTCTTCACGGTCTGTTGTTCTACGGCGGCGTCCAGTGCCCCTTGCTCTTTGCGTACGGCCTTCTCGAAGCCATGCCTGACAACACATAACCACAGTATCTACACTTCTTTGCACTCTAACTGCAATTGCCCGAAAAGAAAGTCCAGCTTCCCGAAGTCCCACTATACGGCCCCTATCAAACTCACTAAGTTGACGAAATCGTACAGGTGTCCGTACTCTAGGCATCGTAACCGATCGTAAAGGATGTCAAGAACCAAAATCCGCCAACGTTGATTCTTTACTGCGGCTAAAATATTCATTTTTAGAGCGTTAGTGAATTAAAAAAAAGCAGTATAAAAACCGGAATGTCCAACTGATAAGGCTGAACATTTTTTCATTTGTTATTTACAGTAAGATAAATACATTCACCAACTTTTATTAAAATAAAACCATTTAAACTGGGTGTTCGGATTTATATGTCACTTAGTATAATACAGTTTCAACAGTTCACTTACTTATAAAAGCCGTTCAAAATTGTTTCCATTGACTGCAATGCAAGGTTGGGCGCGTCTAGTCCAATTTCAGGGCACTAATTCAAATACACCTCCTTCCTGCTGTGCCTGAAGGTTCAAATTATCGGCAGCCACTGTGATTACCTCGTTTTTTAAGTATCCCATAAAAAAGTCCCGAGGATTTAGATCGGGAGACCGTGGAGGTCATGCAATTGGTTCACCCCTTCCAATCCAGCGAATCTGGTATAACTGATTAAAAGATCACGAATTTCTAAATGAAAATAAGGAGCTGCCCCATCGTGCAGGAACCACATCCGTGCCCGGACCGCCAATGGCACATCTTCAAAACGGACCGGCAAATCATTCCGATGTAACTCCAAATACTGGTCACCGTCCATCCGATCTAGCAATATAAACGGTCCAATTAGATGTTCATCGACAATACCTGCCCACATGTTTAAAGAAAAACGGTGTTGGAAGTGTGACCATTGCGTGAGGATTCTGAAAGGACCAAACGTGTGTATTATGAAGATTTGTTATCCCATTACAAGTAGAAATAGCTTCATCGGTGGTCAAAATATCAGCTGATAAAGGGGCATTACTTACTCTAAGGGGGTAGTCTGTAGGTAGCAATGCCTGGACTCTCTGGACGTGATAAGGGTATAGCTGGGCCTCATGTAATATGCGCCACACTGTTGCATGTGACACTTCTGGGACCTGTTGGGCTAACTGCCTTGTGCTTATTCCAAAATTTCGTCTTCGGCATTTAGACGTCTGGGGCGCAAATCTCCATTAGCACATTAGCACGTGCACGTAAAACAGTTGAACTAAATCTTTTGTGATATGGTATGTGCCTATTTGGAAATCAGTGTGCATACAAACGAGAAGTCGCTCGCGAATTTTGCCCTGCTTCTCCTTACGCTAAAACAATGGTATTAGTGTACACATGTACCTTTTTACTTATAAGTAACTAAAAACATAAACTCGAAAGGTACTTTTTTATTTAACTTCACAAAACCCGACCGTTCTTCATTGAGATCACCCAGGATACAGACTACTCTATACACACGTTCTTATCAGTATGAAAAAAAAAATTAATGGTATTTTGTGTTCGTCAGTTGTATGGTACAAAATTTGCTACAATAAATTATTAATGCGTGCTGTAATATCACGACGATGAACGCAAAATACAGATATATATTTTTCAATTCATTATTGAAACTCAAGTTTATATCGTAATTTATGTAGGACTTCTATTATTTTTTTTTTTGAGAAATCAACTTATTTCGTAACAGTGCATATATGTGCGAGCGTTCACACTGACCGCCGCGAACTGACTGCTGCTGAATATGCGGGCCTTTATAGAGATCTAACAGTTACAAAGAACGTGGAACGCAGAACGCAGAACTTGGAACGCTTGAACGCTTTCTGTCTGCGCCAGTCCTAGTATCTCTTGCACTCATACATAGGGTTCGGTCTTGCAGGTACTCGTATCTTTGAACTAACGGTATCCATCTAAGTTAGAAGTTATGCGTAACTTATATGAAGCAACGAAACTGAGTGAAATCTGCTTCCAGCACCTGTTTATTTGTTGATTTAGGTTGCTTCGGTGGAAGCCGCTCTGTACCTACTCCTTTGGAACATACACAAAACGTTCACTTAATTCAGTTCCATATAGTTCAGAGCAACTTCTATTAGTTACCGCCGTAGTGGCAGTTAAGAGTTAGGAGTTGCAGCTGCGAATTGATCGAATAGGAAGTGAAGCATATATTCGGCGGTGCGCCCCAGAGCATACCTGTATATGTATACCCAGTGAATCAAATTCGACCCTCATTATACAAAACTGGCTAAATGGAGACAATTAGGTAACTAAGAAAATGACACAAAGCTTCGCAGATCAGTTTTCTAACTTTAACTATACTTACAGGTATAACTGGGATGGTGCAAGGCGCCCTCCATCACACCAGAATCGACCAGAAGATGGTTCTTTATAGCTGTTTTAATGGAATTAGACCTTTGCTTTTTTATCACTAATCACAGCATGGTAGGAGAAGCTGCGATGGAAAATATTTGTTTTATACGATGGATGTCTTTTACCTTTTGCATATGGAAATAAAACAACACGGTAGGTAGTTTTAAATGACTTCATTGTTTTTCGAAGTATTCTCCATGATGATTAATACACATCTGCATGCGCTCGAACCAATTTTGGAAGCACTTATTCCACTCGTTTGCTGGCAGATCCAGAACGGCATTTTTGAATGGGTCAACTGCTTTTTCTTGTGACTGGAACCTTTGACCACGCAGTCTGTTTTTAATTTTCGGGAAAGTAAAGGAATCGTTAGGACTTAGATCGGGACTATATGGAGGATGGTCCAATAATTCCACGTTTTCTTCCGTTAAATACTGCCTTGTCTTTTGGACTGTGTGCGAGCTTGCATTGTCTTGGTGGAGGATGATTCTTCTTTCGGGGTTGATTTTTCGAAGCTCGGTGATGACTTTGGCCAACAAATGGTAGTATACCAATCCGTAGTAACAGTTATTTGCTCATTAAGAGGCATTGTTGCAATATTCTTTTGACACAAACGTCGCGGCCATCTTTTTCGAAACACTTTGAGAACGGATGACTTTTGTTGGCTTTTCTTCACCCTGGAACACCCAAACAGCCGACTGTGGATTATTTTCTGGTTCATAACAGTAAATCCACGACTCATCACCACTAACAATGTTGTACACATTTTTTGAGATTCCGGAATTGAAACGGTCAAGCGTTTTTTGA